GGCGCGGTGCCCCAGCAGCTGGGTCCCTCAGGAGGTCGGTCCCCTGGGCGTCCGCGAGGTCTGACCCTCGCGCCAACACTTGAGCCAAAGCGGCTGTGGCCCAGAGTCGACCCGCCGTGCGCATTCGGCGCGCCTGGCCATCTGCGTGTCTCGCGCTGCAGGTTTGCCGGGCACGCCAGTTCTCAGAGGTCAGGGCCTCGCCTACCTGGCCTTGGCCATGCCTGGATGCTCGTCCATGGCGGAGGAGGAGGAGGGGGAGGAGGAGGAGGATCGTCCACAGAGCAGATCCGCGCCTTGGGGGGCCGAGCCCGCCTCGCCGTGGGCGGGAGCGGTCGACATCGAATCGAGAAGTCTGGGTCTGATCGGAACGTGCGCCGGATCGGACTGCATCAGCACGGGGTCGAGATCGAGATGCGCAAAAGCGCCTGTGCAGACGTCGGGCCGCAGCGGAATGTCGGGATCGAGCCCGATGCCAGAATCGATATCGGCATCGGATCAGGACTGACTGCCTACCAAACCGCCCCAACCCAACCCGAAGACCCGAATTCCACCCGAGTCTCGGCCTGGGGGGGGGGTCCGGGTTCCATGTGTTCTTTCAATGTTCCCCGACCCCCCCCCCCACTGGAAGTGAAGGGGCAACTTGAGGCCTTGGGGTTGGGCTGGGGTGGCTTGGTGGGTGGTGAGAGATTGCCCCTGGAGGGCGCACCCGCGCCACTTCGAACTCCACTGCCGCGCCTGGCTCCACGATCGCCGGAGTCCCGGCCAGAGCTGCTGGGCCCGCGGGCCCCCGACGCCCGAGCACCTCCGAACGGACGGGAGTTTGACCTCGGGGACGGGTCAGCCGGGGCCAGCCGGTGCCACGTCGGGAACGGGCGGCCGCGTGGTAGCTCGCATGTCTCGGCATTCCTGTAGTCCTACCACGAGATGTTCTTAGAACCCGAAGAACTGTTCGAATAACACAGAAAAGGTTCTTAGAACCTAAGCCCGGTGTGATAAAACAAAACAGTCCCAGCCAGAAATGTTCTAAGAACATTTCGTGCAAACCACAGAGGGTTCTTAGAACATTTTTTGGTGGGTCTGTAGGCGCGCCAGGACGCTTCGCCACTGCATGAATGTCGGGAATGGGCGGCCACGTGGTGGCTCCCAAACCTGGGTCAGCGGAGGGCGGAGGCTCTCCCCAGCTGGGCGGAGCCCCCAAGCCATCCATGCTGAGACTTTGCAGTCTGGCCGCTGCCAGGCCGGCCTCGAGCTGGATGCACACGCGGGCGCCCTGCGTGTCTGGCCATGGATAGAGGCCTCCTAGAATGGGTCCGAGTAAATAGATGGGATCGGAGAGTGGTGCTGGATCGCCGATGTTTCGCCGATGCGTCGGCGATGCATCGACGGTGCATCGGCGACGTCAGCGATGCATCGGCGACATCGGCGTGGGGAAACTCGGGCTCCACATCGAGCCGCATCGCCGATGCATCCGCGATGCGGACCGATCCGTCGAACCCATCTACTCGCACCCCATCCAGGAGGCCTAGAATGGAAAGGATGAAGGTTGGAAAGACACCCGGCCGCATGTGTATTCACCTCTCGCCTGGGCCGGCCACGTCACGTGCATCCAACTTCCTGGTCGCCCGAGGGCACAAAGCCGCTGGCGTGCGGCGGGCGGCCAGCGCCTGGAATCACGGCGGGGCGTGCCCAGGGAAAAGGGCGGGGGCGTGCTTCCGCGGGCAGACCGCTGCGGGCAGCCGCGTGGAGGCGACGCGGGGGGCAGCCATCAAGTGCGCTTGATCGGCCAGCGTGCCCACAAGAATGGAAGAAGCAAAAGAGCTGTGAGGGCAATCTTATAGTTATTCTTTTCGCACGCGCCTCAAGACATGTTCTTTTTCTTCTGTCGGTCCCGAGGCCCCTCCCGAGCTGAATCCTTAACCAATCTTCAAAGGGCCAAGGGGAACCCACTTACTGATTTTCTGTGTCCCTTCCCTCTGGCCCGTGTTTATCTCAAACGGGTCAATGCAAGCACCCGCCCCTCTAGGATGTCTTACACATACACACATCTATGTACTGTGATGGCTGGCAAGTGATTGTCATGAGACTCGTAACATATATGTATGTATGTGTAAGTCTGTTTGCGTGTACAAAGAAGTATATATATACACATATATATGTATGTATGTATGTGTATATATACATATATATATATTCATATATATATATACATATGCTGCCTCCCCAAAGACCTACCTTTTCCCCCTCATCAGACCTCATTCCTTCTTCCTCTGCTCTCTTCCCCTGGATTCAAAGGATTTGTACTGGGTCCAAATCGGCATCCAATATTCAACAATCTGATTGGAGCAGGCCCCATATCGATATGGTTTCTACAAGATTTGAATAAGAACGCAATGTGAATTCTGTAGGGACAGATTCATATCATTTTAATGGTACCCGGAGAACGACCCAATGGGAATTCAATTGGAATGGACCAGACTCCAGATTTAGGGGGGGAGAGAGAGAGAGAGAGAACACATATCAATACAATTCCCATAGAACTCAAACACATATTCAATGACAACAAAACAGAACTCAAATTATTCAAATGGGAGTTCTGTAAGAATGGATGAGATCACGGGTGTACATACTTTCGGTCTTCTTCGAACACGAATCAGCTACGAATTCAATCGTGAATGAGCGGGTTGAAACATTCAAACGGTTACAAGTGGTTTTCAATGTAATTCGTAATGGGATTCAATAGGAATGGATCATGTCGCAGGTTTAGACGATATCTATTGGACCTGAATTAGATTCGCAAAACAACTCAACAGGAATGGAGCCGATCTCAAGTTGTCTTCAAACATTCATTGGGTTTGAATCAATCGATGAATGCGCCCCCCAGAAGGATTCTGAAGAGCAGATCTCGAATGCGCATGTTTATAAAGTTTGTAGAGCAGAGAGCGCACCCTTCACATGTTTCCTGGAAACACATTTTTAACATATAATCGAACACATATGGAACAACACAAACGCACTCCTCACAGTGATCGCCGGGGCCAGATCTTTAAAGCACTTTTTCTTTAAAAACCAGAGCACATAATGCGACCCTGAGACGTATCGTCGGTCTTATGCCAATACAAAACCGGAGAGCAGAACGCAGCCCTCATCGAATTGCTGGGCCTTACGGCTGAGAAACGCAATGTGGTGTAACGATGTGCGGAAGATGATGCAACCCTCACAAGGGTCGTAAGGGATATACCCTAACATCATTTTTCCCTACCGCAAGATGTGTACTCATTTTAATGAGTTCCAGCATGGAGATCGCATGCGCCCGATGCAGGGAAACCGTAGGTGTTTAATAGAAAATGTAGCGAACCCCACAACAATGCACACCTACAACCGACAATCTGATCAAGGCATCATCATGTAAGACATCCGGGCCACCCTTCCGGGAATTTCTTGAAACCAATGGGGGCCAACTTCTGGAGTCAATGCTGGAAGGGCGAACGTGCAAAAATAACCTGGCCAGCCTTCCGGTAAATTCGTTAACACATGACTTTTCGATAAGAGGATTCTTAATCAGATGCTCGACTGTACGGCTTTTGTAAATCACGCCACCAAGCCACATATTTTAATGCTCAGAACGGGTTCGCAGAACCATGCTTTTTATTAGGTGGGTTTCCTTTGGTCCTGAACAACCCCACTTTGGATGGGTCCAAGTGGGCGCTGCAATTTCGTAGGGGCGTTATTCTCCTGGCTCAAGGCAAATAGCAAAACAAATCAATGAGCACAAAAACATATGTGTAATCGTAAGCAAATAGAAAACATGAGGTTTCACGGCACGGGGATGCAACAACATTCGGTGTTCATTGTTTTGGGGCTCCTCGAATACATTTTCAATACGAAAGCGCATAGTTTCGTTGCATTGCCCCAGTGCGACCTCCACGCGGAAGTCTACAAACATTGATCAACATTGAAAGCGCACTGAAGGTTCTTGACACCTATCCGTTACGAACATCAGAAATACGTGTGCGTATGTCCGTGTTTTACACATATAGATAAACGTTAAAACATGCGTTTTTTGTCCCTAAGAAAACACCGACACCTGTGAGGGGTGCGTGCTGTCTTCCACAATGGGAAAATACTCGTGTGCTCCTTGGTACTGGAAACCAGCGAAACCTGGGAGGGCCACGTTCCGTGCTGCCGAAATCTTAAAACAACATCGTGTTCTTGTTACCATCGGACCAACGCGACATGTGAGGGCAACGTATCTTTTTCCTTAAACTATGTAAATCACATTTTTGTTGTTTTTGAAACCTGATGGTTTTGATCCTTGTTGGCGGTGCATTTTGTTTTTTTTCCATATCGTTTCCCACAAACACTTTCAAACTCGCCATGTTTCTGAAATGTGGCACCAGCGATACTGGAGAGAGGTGGCGCCATTTTCTAACAACATCATGTAATCAAATTGTTGTTTGTAAAATACTTGTAGGATCCTGGTGAGGTGTGTTGCGTCCGTATGCCATTCCTCTGTGCATACTTTGGCTCCTGCTCTTTCGCTTCTGCTGTATAATAATTGGACTTCTGATTGCATGCGAGTAACTGCCATTGAATTTGAGTTCGTATGGGCCATCTCCCATGATTCTAGGATTTGTGCCTGAATCAGATTCAATGCGCTTGCAAGTTCAATCCCCTGTTTTTTTGAATCTATATTTGTGTCATGGAAATCCACATGTCGCCATTTGCATGTGGGGCCTGCTCTTTTCCCAATGGTGTTATTTTGACCGTTTGTCTTGGAATTAAAGCCAGTACACCAGAGAACAACCCCAATCAGTGGACGGTTTGAACATATCGATAATGGTATCGATAGTAATATCAATGGTGATACCGATGGTAATATCGACTGCGTGAGATGGATCGACAAATCGATGATGATATCGATGGTGAGCTCGATCGTGGCATCCCGAAATCGGCCCAATACCAGCAACCGGGATCCCGGGAACCCAGACCCTGGAACCCAG